GAGCGGGGAGAAAGACACATTATCAAAAAGGCAAGGCAAATAAAGGTGAGCACTTACAGGCAAGAGCATTTGCAGGATGGTCACATGAAAACAAGTTGCAGGACAAGGGGTATGGTATAGGTGCATGGAAAAAAACTCACAGAAACCAGCAGAATGCAAAATAATATTTTTAAGGCAGTATGATTAAAAAAAACCCCAAAAACTTAAAAATATGGGAAGATGTTGTAATGAAACTAACTTTTTAAAGTTGGACAAAGCAGACATCAAATTGTTTATATGTCACCTCAGAGGGTGATTTTATAAAGAATTCCATTTTACATCTTGCTTCTGAATATTTTTAAAAAAATCAAAACAATTGACATTTACAATGGGCTCCTCTGGGCCAGGCCACACTCAGTTTGTGCTTTCTGGGTTATGATCTAAGAAGACGAGGAGAAGGACCTCTGAAGGAGGCTTTTGTTGTTGTTGTTGTTCTTACTCCTCACCCAAGGGTATTTTTTCCATTGATTTTTTTAGAGAGCGTGGGAGGGAGGAGGGAGGGGTGTGAGAGAGAGCAACATTGATTGGTTGCCTCCCACACCTGCCTGGGGATTGAAACTGCAACCCAAGTATGTGCCCTTGATTGGGAATTGAACCCATGACCTTTCAGTGTGTGCGCCGATGCTGTAACCACTGAGAAACACCAGCTAGAGCTGAAAGAGGCTTTTCTACATAAGCCAGGGGCAGTGTGAAAGTACTATATTTTAGAGGGAGAAAGGAAGTATGGGGTGGCCTAGGGAGAGGGGCACGAGATAAGAGAGGAGGCTGGCATCTGAAGGTGCCAGAGACCCTGAAGCAGATCCACCATCTTCTCAACCTCACCTGGCTCCCCCAACCCTTTTTATTCCTGCAGACTCAAGAGGCCTGCTCATCCATTCCAATTCCATCCAAATTAGGGCCCTGGCCTCTTCCAGGGAGTGGCCTATCCTACCCCACCCGGGCCAACCCCTGATCCCTCACCAATGAGCATGCGGTATTTGTGCGGGTGCCGAGCATCTTCAATGACAGGAATAATGTTAGTCCTCTTCTTGGCCAAGTTAATGAGGTCACGGCCAGAGCGGTGGGAAAACTCAACTGCATAGACCAGACCATCCTAAAATAAATCAAATAACAACAATGATACTAGTTCTCATGTATGGAGCACCTACTTTGGGCCCATACACTGCATGTAGCATATCTTCAAATCTCCAAATCTAAACCCTACCACTTAACAACTATTATTATTATGTCCATTTTACAGATGAATAAACTGAAGTCCAAAGATATGAAGTTGCTGGCCGAGGTTTATTCACTCCCGCTTTGCCTGATCTGAAAACCCAAGCCCCCAATACAGGCTTAAAACCAGGAAGCTAGCGCACAGAGATGAAGTCATCACAGCTAAGACTATCTGCAATAGATCAGGCATTGCTCTAAGCACTTTACAGGAATTAACTCATTTATCTTCACAATAACCCTATTTTCCAGAGGGGTAAACTGAGGCCCAAAGAGATTAAATAACTTGTGAAAGTCATGTCACTGTTAAATGCCTGCACCAGTGCCTGGGTTTAATAGGCTCTGTAATGTAGATGAGTTGGAGGTCATGAAATGACATGCACAGGTAGCCTCTAAACAGGGAGCTTGTACAGCCACACTGAAATGCAGGCCCAGAAAATGAGATTTGTTCTTTCAAGAGAAACTAGAAAATCAGATTTTGGGGGCATAATTTTTTTAAAAGGGCAACTAAATCAAGTAGTCTGGTATATCCACGGTAGTCTGGTGTATACTTAGTTCTGGGCCTGGCTAACAACAGTCACCCAATGCCCATGCCCCTTTCCTCTGGGCCAAGAACTCAGAAATGAAGCTGAATGAGGCTTTGGAGAGCAGGTAGTTCAAGCTGCTTCTTTTACTCACAGGCACTTTAGGAGGGAAAGGCCTAGCTCCATGGCGTGCAATGCAGGGAAGGAGCCAGGGCCTGACTCCAGGTTGGCAGAAGCAGCAACTTTCCTCTCCCTCCTACCTTACCACCAGCCCTCACTCATCATCTAATCCCCATAACTTCACCCACTCACCGGGCCTACGATGTCAGAGACATGAGAGACGGTGGTGCCCGAGGCAGCCCCAAGGTAGAGCACTTTGGCCCCTGGCTTGATGTGGATTTGGTCCACTCCGCCCAGGATAGCTGCTGCCAGCTTGGAGCGGAAGGGGTTCCAGGCACGATACTCGATTTTGTCATCTCCTTCCTAGGCCAGGAGAGATGGAATGCAAGTCAGTGCCAGACTCTTCTTCAAGCCCCCACTGCCCTTAACCCTAGGGCCCTCAAAGAAACTCAATCACTGTACAAGAAACAAATGTGGGCACATATCAGTGACCACAACAGATGCAATGTCTGCCTTATAATGGAAGCTACTAACTCATGGAAATGGGGCAACACCAGACAATAAACAGAGACAAGATCATACCAGATCTATGCATTCCTTCCACAAACATCTGCCGTGCCAGGACATACTGTGTGCAGACCCTATATTAGGCACTGGGGATACCTAGTTACCAAGACAAAGACCCGTGCCCTGAAAGAGCAAGTATGTAATGAACTGACTGACACACACAGTTGACATAGAAGCCAGTGACAGGCACTAAGGAGAAAGGATCAAGCCGGAAAAGTAGATATGAAGTACAGGGAGCAGGGTGAGAGGCAGGTGAAAATGAGAAAGGGTGGCCAGGGAAGAGCCAAGAAGCAGACCTGAGGAAGGTGAAGGGCCATTCAAGTTATCTTGGGAGGGAAAGCTCATTCCAGGCGG